CTGGACCCTCGAACAAGGAGTATACCATAAATGGACGGGGGTGTTTTGGAAAATGAAAGTAAAATTCTAGAATACAATCGTTGGAAGTCCATCATATATTGACTTTCTTTGACTCTCTGACTTATAAGGTATTTATAAATGGGAGTAAATACTGCTTGGCTTGTCTTAAGAGGGACCATGAGATAGAAGTATTTTATAAAACCCTTGAAATTGCACCTTTGGGTTTCAATTACATGTAACCTTATTTGAAGCTTTTGTTTTGCAATTTTAAGCTATATTTTGGACGTTGCTAATTTTTATGCTGATGCACATTTTGTGACCAGCTCTGCAAAAAAGGGGTCTAATAAGTCGCGTAATGCCTTAACACGTAAAGGCCTGTTCTATTTGACGAGGGCAGAATTTCTTCAAAAACGTGATTTTGTGATTTGTTTCCTTTAATAGCTTCTAAACATTTATATTTTACACATCTACATTTTGTAGAATGTGGGCAGCGCACTTGGATACAGCTCCACACACTGCTCTGCATTGACATCTATAACTTTTTTAGCCTGAATTCTTGTGATCATGACACAGCAAGTGACCGAGGATTCATATATCACAATGAGCACTTCACTTCTACTCCAGCTCATCTAGATTTTAAACATTTTCAATCAGTTGCTGCAGCTCTGATACCTTCAAACTCCACGGTTTCAACAGTGCAAGGAGTGTTTGACCACACACTGCAACACGGATCAGTTGAACGCCAACTACTGGGGACAACAGAGTACCAGAATTAGTCTATTTTTAATCAAACGAGTTGCACAATGGATTTCATTTCTGGACTCTCCCTGCTGTCCGCAAGTACAGAGCTGAAGTCCTACACAACCTAAGAATTTGTGTCGCTGATAGAGTTTGTCCTTTTGACTAGACTCGCTTGTCTGTTTCTTCAGTTTCTTAAACTCAACAAGATTCCTTGTGCTGTACATTTATTTCCACCTGTCAAATCCAGAAGACGCACGTGAAGGGGCTATGGAGCTGGTAGACTAGACATTTGAAACACCTAGCAGGATCTTCACACGAATGATCACACGTACAAGGAAAACAGACCACATCACACCTTTGTTAGCCGACCTGCACTGGCTTCCCATCCAACAACGAGTCCAGTACAAACTGTGTCTCATCATCTTTAAGATCTTACAGGGTGATGCTCCAGCTTATTTAGGTGATCTTGTCTAGTTCTATGCCCCAGGTCATTGGGGTTTGCAGTCAGCCAAAACAATCTACTCAAGGAAACTAAGGCATATCATCGTTGGGGGGGAGAGAAGCTTTCGGATTGCAGCACCCAAACTTTGGAACTCTTTACCGGAAACTGTGAGACAATCGAGCTCACTTGACACATTCAAGGACAGATTAAAATCATATTTGCATAGACAGGCATTTGGTTAATATTCCTTCATTATCATTATTGGATGTCTTTGCTTATTAGCGCCATGAACGCCGTTCGCAGCGGATACCGGCGCTCTATAAATGATTTTTATTATTATTATTTGTATCATTATTATCATTAAATGTAGTTTCCCTATCACCACCCACATCAAAGATCTCCTTGGCAACAGCGCGTCCTTTCGAAAAGATGACTGCCAGTGTATTCGTGGGGGGGGTATAGCATGCAAAGTTCATCTATTATTTACGGACGTGTATAACCATCGCCTGACCAGCATAAACTACGTGTCCAGGCCAGGCTTCGTCGGCAAAGACCGACAGAGCCCAACGATACATATCATCAAGGAATGTCTCCTGTTCCTCTGAAGGTATGAGACTCAAATACCCGAATAAAGTCTTAGCAGCCACTGGAAAATAAAAGAAAAGAATTACTTACTCTTCACAATACTGCTTGCTGGAAAAGTTTGTGTGTGAATACCAACACCTTGCTTTAAATTGTTGCACTGTAACCTTTTAATGTAAAAGCATATTTATAATGAGAACCTGAAAATACATGTCCTCTACACCCACAAATAATTGTGTATACATCAATGAATTTGGAACTGGCTAGGGAGCATGTAAATAAACATGTAAATAACAATTAACAAAGTGGCAAACCTACATTTGAATTGCAGCTCCGACAGAGATATATCCCGACTTGCGATTTCACAGTGCACGCTGCTACACCCATACCCCTTTAACCATTCAACCGTGTCTGGGATGGATGGTGACCACAAACGCAATGGTGACACGTAGTCCTGCAAAAAAACACTCCTCTAATAACCTGCAAAATGCCTGGTTTCCATAAAAACTCCCCAAGAAGGTGTGAGTGAAATGCCTTTTCGGCTGGTAATTCCGCACAATTGGAACTCAGTTCGATGTACATTGTCAACATAACTGCCGATCATACACAATGTCAACACAGAGATATCCAGGAGAGTATTGGTAAAATGCACGGTACTATAGTTAAGAGGGACATAACTTTCAGCCCATCATGCCAGTGTTTGCCTGGGTTGACTCTTTCGACTCTACATAATCAGTCCGTAAACTTTCCCACTGTTTGTTTGTTATAGACACGATAAAGCGCTTTGATATAACTGCGTATCGTCTTGGGCTTAACCTTGAGTCACTTTACACCAATATGGAACTAGGCCCAGGCCCAAGAAGCTGATTAATATGCAATCAATGTTTGAAATCAGCTGCATATATATACAACGTATACATACATACATACATACATACATACATACAAATTTTAGATCTTCAGCCAATATATCATGCAGTTTTGATATTATTCATACTTGGCTTCTGAAGGCTAACGCTGACTCATTTCTTTCGATAATTACCCATATTGTGAACATCTATTACTACAGGTAGCTTTCCAGATTCAGTGAAGCACGCTACTGTCACTCCTATTCCCAAGAAACCGTCGCTTGACGCTCAAGAGCTAGCTAGTTATCGTCGGGTGTCTAACTTACCTTTTCTGTCGAAGGTCGTTGAAAAGGTTATTGCTTCTTGCATTGCAATGCAAATGGATGACCACAATCTGTGAGAATCTTAACAATCTGCGTTTAGATCACTGAAACTGCACAGCTAGCATTAAAAAAAGATATTATGCAGACGATTGGTGGCTCCAAAGGCGTGTTTCTAGTTCTTCTTAACTTGAGTGCCGTCTTCGATATTGTAGATCGCCAGATCCTTCTACACAGGCTTAATAAGTCCATTGGCCTGATTGGAAAAGCACTATCCCGGTTCCACAGTTACCTCAGGAGTCCTGCAGTGTGCGTATCTATGGCACCTTGTTATACCGGAAATCAGGTTTAGAGTCCCTGGCCTTCACTTTCTACACAAGCCATAATTCGGGAACATGGTCTTAGTTTCCATCTATATGCTGACGACACTCAAATCTATTGCAACTTCAATCCCAAGGAAGTGGAATCTATCACATTTGCACTTACTAGACTGTCTATTTACATACTTCAGTTAATCTGAAGGTGTGGATGACAAACAACAAGCTCAAATTCAACGACTCATAGACCAAATTTCTGGTAGTGGCCTCCAACCACGGTCTCTGCAATTCACCTCATTTCACTCTGAAAATACGGGGGGGGGCAATATCATCCCACCACCGCAATCAGTCTGCAGTCTTGGGGTCCATTTTCATTCACCCATGTCAATATCAACTCACGTTCTAAACCTCAACCGCAGCATCCATTTCTAACTTCGTAACATTTCACGAATTTTGAAACTTGTCACAATGTAGTCCGCGCATTAGTTTTGTCCCATGGCATCAACGAGTCGGAGCTTGATAGGCTTCAATGGCTACAAAACCAGGTCGCACGCATTATATTCACGGCGGATTGGCGTATATCAGTTTCTGAATTACTTACCGAACTTCACTGGCTTCCCGTCGGGAATAGAATATTATTCAAGATGGCTCTTCTCGTCTTCAAATGTCTTAATTGCACATCTCCTAAATACCTTCACAACCTCATACACCTCAATATATCCCGACCTGGTCTTCGATCCAGTTATGACGCCACGCCCCTCTCTGTCCCAAGATCTAGAAAAACCTCCATGGATAAAGCCTTCATAATTGCTGGTCCAAAGCTATGGAACACAATACCATCCAGCATTAGATTACAGGACACAATGTCACCATTCAGAAAACACTTTAAAAAGCATCTTTTCCAGTATAGTTTCATTATCCTGTGTTGCACAGCGCCGTGATCTAGACGGAATGGCGCTATATAAATCTTGCTATTATTATTACCACAATTATTACTATTTGCATTTGCCTTCAACTTGGTGTCAATCTAAATGCCCTCAAATAGTCTTTAATTAAACAACCAGAATTACATAAAAAGTAAGCAAAAACTAGAAATAGTCTGGATACCAACACAAGTTATTTGGAAACAATGTTGGTGACAGATTTTAAAAGGCTACAAACTATATTTACCTTCATGTATACACCCCACTTCGGATGGTTCTTAGCGTGTGCATAAGCATGCACCAGTAAGTGGCGGTTGTTGCGATCAATGCCTGTGAGAATCAACCCCTCTCCTCCCTTTTTCAAGCAGGCCAAGATGCTCTCCAACGCTTTAGGCTGTTCTGCCGACGGGATCCAGTTAAGCACGAAGAAACTCACAACTTTATCAAATCTGTCTCGCCATTCTGGGTTGTTGCCGACGGTCCTGGCATCCCAGACAAGATACCAAATGTTGGATGCCGAGTTGTTTTCTTGAGCCGTCGCTATCATTGCTTCCGAAGAATCGACACCTTAACAGATAACACCACGACACAGAAAGTTGATTTTGATATTTGATAATATTTTATCCATGTGCCATGAATGCGCAATTGTGAACGGGAACTATTCTTCAGAGCATTATTTACAATAACACGTACGTGTAACAATCTGTTGACGGGTCTAAATGGCTGGCCCCTACTGTATATATGTCACTTTCTTTATTTCTTTTAGAGGAGATAAAGAAAATTCTAAGGGACCTCATTGTACAGTTTTTTCAACTATTTTGATAATGGTTGATCAGAATTGCAACTGTTACATATTTTCATTTCTAAGATGATTCCAACCCTAACTTTCCCTTCCCCAGTGCACCTCTGTGGACAGAGCCTATTTGGGAATCAATTCGCACATTACAGACAAAGCACAGACAGACAGACACATGTAAACAACTCAAAACAAAGTTCTTATGACTTTCCTTGTGTACCTGTTGCACTTTTAACCTTTGTTGCTATCGTTTTAGTCTCTTCTCCTGATCCACAGCCCACGTCAAGAACCTCGTCTCCACGTTGGAAGGTAACTTTATCAATGTGTTGCATAATTATGGTGTTTTGGATGACTCTACCATCTCCACGGTAGTCGTTACTCGCTGAAAAATTCATGGCCGAGTTCTGACGCTCTGAAAGAATTCAAATTTCTTTTCAGCACTAAATCTGATCGAAGTGGTAGTGTTTTTAAATTGAACAACTCAGCAAAAGCTTTTATGATGATTCGAAATGCATGGTGTCCCGTGGTGTCAAAACACTAACCCAACCCAATCCACTCAAACCAAGAAGAAGCCCAGCCCAGTCCAGCCAAGCCAAGCCCAATCCAACCCAACCCAACCAAACCAAGACGAACTGTCTTTAGTTTAATGTCTGTTAATAAAACCAATAACACACCACTTTTCACACCGTAAGTTAAATGCACAAAATCATAGAATTCGGCTTTGTTTTCCAAGGCGAAGGCCTGGGTGAATAATTGATCAAGGAAAAGATAGAATTAATACAAATAATAAAAACAGTGAATAAAACGGATACAGCCATACTTTACTGTAAAAAGTGTACATGGACAAGTTCCTAAGGTAGGCCTACGCTTTGTCGGATCCTGATAATTCTGTCAGCTTAATAATGAAAATTCTGCACTTCGATCAAGCCAAAGGGGATTATTGTTGGAGCAGACTTACCAAAAGAGGTCTTGAAACTGTACTGTAAGCTCTGTAAAATAGCCGGAAAACCAAATTAAATGTCTTTCTTTTACACAGCAGGACGAATGTTGTTGACCATAATGGGGAGGACCGCCATTTCATACGACTATAGCTGCTACACATCGTGACGTACGACCGATATATATTGCAAGCAGAAAGGTTCCATGTCCACACCGCTAACTATTTTTCAAATAACACGTGAAGATAGCACACTGATTGGTTGGTGCTCGCAACGAGGAATGAAGAACGGATGACTGTTATGCTGCATTCTCAACATACTGGCCCTCCCATGAACTATGTTCACCAACACGTGCGTAAAGGAGTGCTGCATTATCATTTTCCTATTTGACAACAAAGTGCAGCTGCGAGAAGTATGAAGGGGGAAAATGCCGGTTCGTTGCTTTTGCTCTGAGTAGCATGACGTCACACTGCTAGTACCACGCATGTATATTTGAGGACAGTGTGCTGTATTTTTCCACAGTTGCACATTGCGTTGCCGACGAAGAAAACTGGGGAGGATTAAAGCATAGATTAAATTAACTTGTATAGTAAGCATTCCCTCCAAACTGAGATAGGACACTAAGAAAACAGATGAGACAAGCGCTGTCCCTTTTTTCTCTAAAAATCATCCTTTACGCTCCATTCATATAGACGGTATAAAGAAGGCTGGAGGCCTATCTCCAAAAAGAATATTCGCCACACCTTCTAAATTGTTGGGGGATGGTATGAAAAAAAGCCTCATTTAAACATTCCTCGAATCTATAAACGCCCTTTTAGGTTAAAAATAAAGAAAGGAAAATCTGTTAGGTATCGTATCGATGCTAAAGCGCCAGACAGTTACGTATTGCAGGGTTTTGCCCCGGTGCGTGATAGCACGTGTGTATTGCGTTTATCACACGCAGGCACTGCATGCACAGTACATAGGCGAATGGGTGCATGGTACGGTCATGAACCTAGTCAACAACTAGAGATGGTGGTTGTTAAACACATAACAAGATGATGCCATCATGACGTTAACAGTCAGGAATAATTCTTGTATCAGGGTCTTTGTTGGCTGTAACTTTAACAACGATCACAGATGTCAAAGTTACCATAATGGTTGCTTAAAATTTTACAAAGTCAATGGGCTCAAATACATGCAGAAAAACTGCTCCTTTAAGTGCATGTCATGTGATTTGAGGTCAAACGGGAAAAATGGAAATATTACTCAATATTTTTACTCTTGGGTATATTTGTAACAGAACGAAAGGGAAAATTTAGTCTGATTTTTCTTTCCTTCTCATGGTAATCTTGAGCCGAAATTGAGGACTACTCACTCACTCTTAGGTAGAAAAACATGTACAAAACCGATGGAGAAAAACTGCTGCTTTAATCTCATGTCACGTGACCCCTGATGATCTCATTTTGAGGATTCTGTACTGGCACCGTCTATCCTTGGTGGACAACGAATTTACACAAAAGGAGTAAGTCAGATTAACCATGGTCCCAAAGATAAGCTGTTGTATAACGTGTACAAAACCTATGGGGGAAAATCAAATATCCAAAATTTATTTAGGATTAGTTGATGACGTGAGCATGACGTCATGAATTGAGCAAATTTCATCTATTGCGGTCTTTGCTTGCTGTAACTTTGATTACAATCAAACACCGGGAAGTAACTAAAATGGTGGCTTGAAAACATGCACAAAGTTAATACGCTTCAATAGATATTAAAAGATCAATAATAAATCTCACGATGACGTCATCATGACGTCATTCATTTTGAATAATTATTGCATCAGGGTTTTTGTTTTCTATCACTTTGATTACGATCAAACATTGCAAAGTTACCAAAAATGTGGCTCAATTACGGGCACAAATTCAATTGGCTAACAACACGTGTGCAGAAAAACTTTTCCTTTAAGTACATATCACGTGAAGTTCGTCTAACTGGAAAAAAGCATGAAATATTATTTGTCATTCTGACTCCTGGGTATGCTTGCAGTCGAACGGAAGGGAAAATTTGGTCTGATTTCTCTGTTGTTCTCGGTCGAACTTCTCATGCTTTAAGCTCAAAAGTTGTGTGTTGTAAAAGAACGTCTACAGACCCTATGGAAAAAAATATTCAAAATTCTATAATAATTCACGTGATGACGTTCTCATTACCAATTTTTCCTAAACTCTCCCTTACTGTGGGGCTAAGAATCTTGACCTAACATCCATTGAGTCAGGTCGAGAACAGTGTGGAAGTCTGGTAGTTGAAAAACGTGTATAAAACCTATGAGGGAAATTAAATATTCAAAATTCAATAATAACTCATGTGATGACGTCATCATGACGAATATCTTCTCTTTATCATCACACAAGGTCAATATTCCTCTAAAGTACTCCTTTTTCAAGATATCTGCAAGATTTGAACCCGATCGGACATCTACTTCGGGAGATATAGGGCCTTAAAGAGTGCACCTTTAATGTCACGTGACTTGTCTCCTGGTGACGTAATCAGCAAAGCAGGTCAACATTCGTCTGTAACACTTTCCTTTCTAGTTATCTGCAAAATTTCAACGAGATAGGACATGTCCTTTAGGAGATAAAAGACTTTGAAGCTCATGCCAAGTCAAAAAACATGTACAAAATCAGTATAAAATAAGCTGATGACGTCATCAGAACGACATTCATTTTCAATAAATCGTACATCAGGGTCTTTGTTGGCTATCACTTTGTCAAGGATAAAACATTGCAAAGTTACGAAAATTGTGGCTCAAAAAACGTGTACAAAGTCTATGAGCGATAAACTCATTCGCAGAAACACTGCTCCTGTAAGTTCATGTCACGTGATTTGCGCTGGAACTGAACAATTTTCATGAAATATTGCTTCATATTCGGACTCTTAGGTATATTTCAAATCAAATAACAGAACGTATAAAGTACCCGATTTTTCTTTCGTTCTTATAGTAATTTTGAGCCGAAGTAAAGGACTACCCGTTCACTTGTGTTTATTAGAAAAACGTTTACAAAACGTATGGGGAAAAATTAAATATTCAAAAATCAATAGAAAAAATGGGGCGATGGTGTCACCATGACGTCACAAATTAGGTTTTTATTTTCCATCACGGTCTTTGCCGGCTGTAATTTCGATGACGAATGAAGATCGCCAAGTAACCAAAAATTGTGCCTGGAAAACTTGTACAAAGTCAATGGGCTAAAATAAATATGTAAAAATCTATAACAAAAAACTTGGTGACTTCATGGCGACGTAATTACTTTGGTATTATTTTGGTTATCCATCCAATCCACAGCGGTGAAAGAAGACCTCAAACTCCAAGCGGAGAAAGACATGCAGCGCCAAAGACATCGCATCTGCTTGGTGAGGGGGTCGAAGCAAGGTCCTAAATGTTATCGACCGCATCAGATATTTATTTTGACTGTTTACTTTGATTTTGGTGGTTAGAAAAATGAAAATAATTGATATACATGTATATGATAATATTAACTCAAACATGGAAACTAAACGTGTAACCATTGTTGCAAATATAAACCGCTTAAACTCAACAAAACATATACAAATAGTTGTTTAAATTGTTTAGGACGCAATAAAAAATGGAGTACCTGTCATCAGGGGAATATAAATATCATTGCTTGGAATGTAGATCAATTACCAAAGAAATAGCGCAAAATCTAAAGGGTTACACACCTCAAGATCTCTTTAACAAACTTTTTAAAACTCGCCTTTAAATTCCGATACCAAGTCTACGTTAACCGTTTTAGGCCAGGTCAACGGGGACCGTTTGTAAATTTGCCTTGCGGCTTCTAACACTTGGTCGGCCGTTTTGCTCGACAAGGGTTCCACCTCTTTTGTATCTTAAGGCAACTTCTACCACGGTTAACGTGTATTTGTTTTACGTTTACCGTCGCGATCCCAAGGCAAATACAACACGTCCGTTTGATGCGTTCGACCGAGTCTGTTTGCAAAGTCATCAGCCTGGGTATGTACCCAGGTGAAGGTAAATGAATTTTCCACACGGCCTGTTTTTAACCACCTTCTCACCGCGCTTTTGTCCGCGCCTGTCTCTTTATGCAAGTGATCTACGGCACTTTCACCGTAGATGAAATCCACACGAGCTCTCCATCCCGTTGGTCTACTGAAGGCACGTAAAAATCTGACAACACGGGTTCATGCGGCAACGTCCTCAACACATTCTTTGTCAACGTCGGTAAATTCGCGTTAACTCGCACGTTCTTGCCTTATGCGTTCGTTTAAAAAATCCAACAGTTGAACGCAATATTTTCCCCAGGTTTGTTTGGCTTTCGCCAATTGTTCTAAAGCCAAATCGTGCCTCTACCGTTCTTCGTCTACGCGTTTTTGAAACTGGCTACTAAACAGAAATTGGACTAGGCGGGTTTTAATCGATACAGGAAAGGGTACTGACAATTGGTCAATATCTCATGAAAGATTTCCTTTCATTTACAGGAGTTTTCATAATGTCCAGAACAACACATCAAATATCTTCATTCCACAGTACGATTCTTCCAATACTTCCAGCACTTGCTTGTCGTTCGCTATCCCCGTCGGTAGTTTCCCTGAGACCTCTCTGCATGCAATCGCACACGTTCGGCTCTCCGTTGGATGCTACAGGCTTCCTCACTCGCCGGTACCGCCATGGCAGGGGACGCACACTTCACCTCGACGCAGAGCGCCAATTTATGATATAACCTGTTGCCTTAGTCCCCTGCATGTCGGGGATATCTTCAATTCGAGAAGTGCAGTAACTGTGGCCTGAAGTCCCGATTGCTTCCAAGCTTTTAACGCCTAAAGAACGGAACAGAGTTGGTTTGCTCTGCACAAGCTCTCTAATAGACTGCTGCATGAGCGGAAACTCCTACGTGTAATGTACATATTTCCCAGACCACAGTGCACGTTAAGTTCGATACCCCAGTCACTATCTCATCGTTTGACTATACTATTTATATGCACTATTGCGAAATACACATTGCGGAAGCATAAACTGGTTGAGGGTTTGCCGCGACATAAGAAAACATTGTCCTACAAGGAAACAACGAGGGCGTACTTCTAACCGTCTGGGCATTCTTCAGTTCTTTACATGAATAAGCATGTCTCATTTCTGTTTTCCCAAATAAAGGCTGTTTTTGGGGGGTGCTTACGAGATTAAGTGTTGATTGTTTCGTTACCGCGACGAAAGGGAAAATTGGTTTTAGTAAACCCGGGTAACAGCATTACCTGGACATTTGTACAATCAGAAATGGCTCCCTAAGGAAAGGCCTTTCCTTACGAGGAAAGGGGCGGTAATATCACTCATTAGAATACACCTCTTGCTGGTTCTTTATTCTGGTTGGCTGAATCACAGTCACGTGAAGTTTACTACAATATAGAGGTTTACGTTAGCGTGAACTAGACACGTTTCAAACATCGCGCGTAATTTCCATTGATCGGAAATTTTGATGTGTTACAGCTCCCTTGATATAAATCCCTGAGTCCTTTTATTTTATTTTATTTTAGATAGTGGTGTGTTATATGAACACATTGTGTTGCAAGAGACAAGAGTGATAAAATACCCTTTCTTCAACAAACAAATCAGGAAAAATACTTCGACGTTTCTCATGTGTTCAAGACACACACAGCAACTTAATGTTCATTAAGGTCTACTTAACTTTTTTAATAGCAGAGAATTGGACAGCACACAAATCGTAATTTTGTCAATTTGGGTTATAATTTTGGTAATTTGGTGCCGATTTACTGGTCTGCACCCAAAAGGACTGATGTCTTTGTTATAGACTAGTGACCTCAATCCCAGTCCATAATTTATGTGGGAACATTGTGCCCTATACGTGAACAGTGGGAAGCGACTAGTTTACCCCTAAGATAGCCATCTCGTAAGTTTAGTACTTCAATTGAATAATTTTTATGCATGTGCAAATGCTAAATTGTTCGTGGCTACGCAAATATAGGACGACCTTACCACGTCGTCCCCAGGCGTAACAATTACTCTCAGCTTCGTTTCCAGTACTAACCATTACGTAGGAAACCCCTTTTCGTGTTCTGATTCGATACAGCAACAAGTAATCGATTTAGACTAGGTACTTGATGTTGTGCGTTTAATGTGATTTTTTTTTACCATTACCAGTTTTGTTTTAGCGTTACATGCACCATGCTACACGATCTGCTGCTAAGTATTTTACATCTTTGTGCTTTCAGGCGCTTTATGCCAGACAAGAAATCGCAAATTTAAAGCATATCCGGGTAACAGAAAATTATATCAACGCAGGGAGAATAATAATGGCAGTTGGAACGACTGTGCAACTTCACAAAATGGATTAAAACCAACCAGTTGTTTAACAACTTCTGGCCGTTCTGTGTGTAGTATAATATAATCCACTTTTAGAGGGGACATCTTTTTACTGTTCGCTATCATTTTTAAACATGTTTATATCCCCGCGAGTAACTGTTGGCAGTTTAATTTCGAAGAGTTTGTAGGAGAGGTCAACTGAATACCTTAACTGCAGGCCACTGCAATATTTATTTACACCTTTATACATTGGGCAATAACTATCATATTTGTACAGTTTTAACAAGTAAGGTTTAAAATTAAAGACGTTAAAATAAGTATTGAAAAAGCTTTTAAATATGAGAATTATTAGAACCTTGATCCTTTCTTCATTTTTCGTTATGTATTGTGAAGATTTTTTCCTCTTCTGGCTTCTGGTCGATTTGGAAACCACTCCACTATTAAACAAATCCGCAATATCATAAAAGCGTAAAGCAGAGTTAGGTTCAAATCAAATTTAAATGGAAAAACTGATTGCTTTATATTCTCCACTATTCATTTTGGATTTTTCAGTAGATAGGTACTGGAAAAAGTTAAAAACAAATGTAAATCCAAGTATTTTTGAGCTTCCAAACGTCTGAAATATTTTTCATTTCAAAATAATTACGCTGTTATTGTTTTCCACTACATATCACCAACGAATTATAAATGTCATAAGACCTAAGCACAAGAAAAGTATGAACTTAATAATTAATTATTACGTAATTGAAATAAAATCGATCCTTTTGTCGAGTACGTGCCAAGGTTAGTTTGGTTGAATAGGGATTCCTTGCTTGCGTGCTTATAGACCTTTCTTTTTTTTTATTCAAACATCGACCGCCATTTTTGTATAGACGGCCAATGATTACCAAAATTTGTTTATGCCTCAGATTGCAATTGTTTCATAAACGTTACAGACTTCGGTATTTGCAAATGGTATGAGGTAGTAGCGTTACTTAACCGCTTAAATAGCTGTCAGAGGTTTTGGTTTAATTAATTTTGAAATGGTTCTTGTGTTTTTGTCCCCATGACCGTCCATAGTTTCCCAACCGATGGACGGCGAAAACTATACGATGGTGGTGTGGCAAAAAAAGGGGTCTAAACAAGTCTGGCCGAAGGGTTCGTGATGCTGGCCCCTCTTAGCAGACCTCTTCAATCTCCTCCCAGTAGCAACCCTCGTGGCAGCATTCCTCTGACAAGCTGCGCTTGGTGATGCGGCGGCCAGAGAGGAAGGCGTTGGCTTTCCCGGAAGGCAGGAACTCTGTCGGAAAAGATGGCCCCAAAATATTCCTAAATTAAGGGTCGTCCTTTGGACTTATAGCTGCTATTTTGTGCTTGTTATTTAATCTATACGTCATGAAATGCACATTTTACAATCTTATTATCTCTGTTCCCCGGGCACATAATCCTTCCTAAAAACCATTCCGACTCCAAGGGGAGTATACAGCTCGGTGCACTCATTTGACGCGCTACCTCACCGGTCGATCAGAGATGGTTTGCATCTCAGGCACCCATTCACTCCTGGGCGGAGAGAGGAACATTGCCCGATGTCACAACACGTAACCGCCAGTTGGATTTGAAAGTCCGACCCTGTGATCGGAAGTAGCATATCCCAACGCCCTCGCTACACGATGCTTGTGAAGACTCCTCAACAAACCACTTAGATACTGGCCAATTTCATTTCAAAGATACCATGCATTGCACGTTTCTTGTAACTGATTCCCAGACGATTCGCAAAGTATGACATCCACTGAGCCTGCTTATGTATCATACCGGACCTAGTCAAAGACCCCTAAAGATGTCTGGCTCGGTTTAAAGGTCCTCAGAAGCCCACATATTCACTATGGAAGATTTGTGCTCCCTTCAATCGTAGTGCAGCAACGTACAGGTAAGGACCGCAACCAAGTTATTTTGCTACTCGCAAATTCCCAGTGTTGTAGTCGAGTACTTTCCGAGTACCAACGTTCTCCGCAAAATACTGAACTGGGTAAGAGGGGATAAAGCCAGGTGCACAGGCATTTCATGGTAAATTTGCAAAGGTAAGATTACAAAATAAATGTTAGAATTCAGACACTCCCAGTTGTGTAAAATTTAAGTTTTAAGGAGAAAAGTACTCAGAAAGTACTCGGTCGAGTATTTTCAGAGTACTTTTGGCCTAAAAGTTAATTTTATCAAACAGTGATGGTCTGAAGTCATTATGTTGCTTTGTAATCTTACCTTTATGCATTTACCTTAAAATGCCGATGTACTTCAGCTTTGTTCCCTTCTAACTAGTTAAATATTTGGTGGAGAACTTGGTTCTCAAAAAGTACTCGACTACATCACTGCAAATTCCTCAAATTCATGATTTCTAATTAATAATCATAACGATATGTATATTTGGGTTGAAATATTGTTTGAAGTCCGGGACCCATATTTTGCGGGATTATTGCCATAACAGGTATCTAAAATTCGGACCGAGCAGTTCATGTGGCAAGTTCGCAAGGGGCAGGGAAGTAGATCATTCGCGAAATATGGTTTGAATAACCAAACAATTTCTCAATCCTTAACCGTTTAACAATCCCACTGCTTCAACACGAAATTGCTGACTTTTTTCTCTTCGTTTTTAATTTTACCGTTTCACGCCTCACTCACCCGACAGATCAAGTTCCCTCTTCCTTGGCACAACCTGACAGTTACAGTAAGCATTTCTTCTCTCATTTAGATCCTCTCCACAAAATGTGTGGGAAGGCCCATCCCAACGCTTCTTCCTATTAAACAGAAAGGGACAAAAGAACAAAATAGAATGAAATGAAAATCTTTTCTGCAGCTACACATGGGGAACTGCACTGCCAATGATATCATATTAGGCGATTCAAGTATACGCTCTGGTTTACGTTTGTTATCAAATTCACTCTTTTTATTTTAACTCACCCTTCGGTGCTGATTTGAGCTGCGAGAGCCTCACAGGAAGCTGTCGAAGGAGTTTTGTCTGAAATTGTTTTTCAAAAAAGTTTGTGAGATCAGGCTTTATTTCCATGGGATATTACATTTTAACAACCTCTTTTTGGCCTCATGCAGGTCCAGTATGTTTCCCAAGAGTTCTAATAAAGTAGCCTCGCAGTTTGGTTATGGATGTTGACCAGTAACTTGTCCCTTGTCATGTCAGGACTGTGTGGCCATGCTAAGCAGTGTCCGAATCAGCTACGGCTGGATATTACACACGAGTAAATGGCAGTGGCCGCGGCCAGTTCCCATTAAGTTTTGTGTAAATCCGGCCGTAGCCAAGTGTTTCGGACACAGCCTAACATGCGTTCTGCCGTCTGTATGCCATTTTATATCCTGAACGTCCTCTGGACCCAAACATTTCATCAACGGTACTTGCTACTGAGTGGTCGAGTGGTCATCAGGTCTGCCTATGCTGTAGGCAGTCTTGGGCTCGAACCCCGCCCATTCAAGCAACTTAATGAAGATTTCCCCTCTACCTCTGATAAACGTAAGTCAGAACATCCACGTTGCGAAGTGCGAGCCAAACACCTACATTATCTTCCGAAATAATTTACATCGATGCGTACAGGTATGTCGACAGTTCACAGTATACTTATATATCAACTGTAAAACAAAGTGTGGCATCTGTATTGGATGGTTTAAGATCGAACCAAACGGTGTGGAGTTAGAGAAAATATTTGGTTTTCGTTGGATTCATGACTGAAACTGTTGATGACCTTACCTGCCAGGGTGACCGCCACACAGGCACAGAGGACGAGGGCCACGATCCAGCGAGTCATGGTGACGGCAGAGGGCACGTGGTGGGATCACTTTACCGACGGGAACCCAAAGGGCGCTTGTGGTCCTGACACGCAACAACCAGCGCTCTTATAAGCAGCATGGACACGCCCCCCTGGCACGTGGGGTCTCACGGATTGACAGCTCCTTTACCAACCATTGGACGAAAGCGCCATGTTCTAATGTTTATTAATAGCCTCCATGCGCATAATTATGGTAATTTTGCTTGGGCGATTGCGGCGTACGTACTTTATCATATCGCAGCTTTGTACCAGAGAGGGATGATCTTGGCAAAGTTGGGTAATACACGTACATTGTGAATGCTAATTCGATAACGGAAGGTGTAATTTTACGATTTCTTTCAAATACTTTTGAATACAAAAATGTATTATGCAAGAGCGCGCTTCCACAAACTTTTGTACAGTCACTTATTACACTGACGGTCGCAGCATGAAAGGAGACGGTTTATCTTTATTGGTTTTTAAAACTCAGGGATGAAGATCTTATAAGGACAAGACCTGACGGTGAAGTCTGTGACATAATTCAAAATATCCTTGTTGGGTGCAATCGGTCGATCCGCAGATCTCGAGATCGCCTCACGCTATTGCTCGATCAAGAATGAAATCTCAGATGTTACTACCCTTAGAAAGAAAAGGTGATTGGTCAATGGTAGAAATAGGCAGTAAATCGTAAAGTGAGATCAATAGATCGGGCAAAGATCAAGCGAACCAGCAAATCGACCGAGTGTGGTATAGGCCTGCATTTGAAGTTTCTGGATTTTGATACTGCATGTTTAGTGATTGACCTCAGCTCATTATTACAATTTGTTTGTTTATTTATGTATGTATTTATTTGTAACTGATTTCAATAATTTATTTTAAAGATAAAGAAGATTTCAGATGTGGATTTTTCTGAATCCGTGTTTAGGCTGAATCGGGATCTGGACCTAAGGGTGCCCACTTTTTGTTTAAAATCTGACTAAATGCTTTTCGAGTTATGTTCCCCTTCAACTGTTTTTGTTTTTCAATTAAAGCAGTAATACAAATGGCAGACGTTCAAATGTTTTCAATCTTAAAATTATCCAGTACTAAGGCACTTTAAAAGGCAGTAGAAGCCTGAAACACTTCCGGAAATAATTTGTCTGTCAAGTTGACTCCGTTTTTGTGCTACCATTAACGATTATCATCAATCGATTTTAACACAAATAGAAAAGGCGAGATCACCACTTTTCAAAACGACCAGGGTTGCCCGTGTGACAAGTGTTTCCGCAATAACTTGCAGAGAACCTCAAAAGGTATACCACTCTGTTCGTGGAATTGATAGTAAGATGTGCTGGTAAAGGTTAAACTAAGCCTTGGAATTACTTCAAGCTATTAGCTGTCGTCAGTATAGTTTTGATGGATTAATTGAAGTGTAGTAATTAACACTTGTACGGATAGGATGCATATTGGATTACCCGCATTTTTACAGTCATCTAAAAGTAATAATTAAAGGCATACACTTTCCAGACCTTGATTTATCTTCGGGGTAAAGCCTAACAAATTATTAAACTATTCTAAACGATGTGAAAATAAATTTCATTGTCATCTGCTGTAAAGGCATTGCTTACCTCATGGGTTTCGACATTCATAACTTTGATCGGAAGTTTTTATACGCGTGGACTAAATATTTTTAATTACAGTTTTAAGAATGAACCGATTCTTGGTAAGTAGGCCTATGTTTCTCTCGCAGTTGATAAGCCCACCGCATCCACTCAATTCACCTGTGAGCCTGCATATTATAATGTTTCAAGGTTCATAATAAATTCTGACTGATGAGGTACAGAAGAGAAATGATTGTCAGGAATCTATGGTGTTCTATGTGAGTTGTGTGAGTTTGAACGTCGTATGTGTGAGTTTGAACATCGTGCTTGTAAGGTTGAACGTCGTGTTTGTGAGTGGTCAGGGCCGATGTCATGGATCCTTAGCATAATTTTTTCCCTCGATAAAAACAGGATTACCAACCAAACTGTTCATGTGTTGTACATTGCCTATGACTAGTGTTCAGCTGATGTTCGCTTATCATAAAAGTGACATGGACTTAAGGCTGATAACCTATTCTTCCTGAGCAAGACAACACTGTGCTAAGTAAATTTATGTGCTTAGCAGCTTCATGAAATTGGCCCAGCGCCTGGTAGAGTAGACTACACGCAGTACTGTGTACAAGTCTGCTTCCCAGACCCCAACAATCTACAAACACGACTTTCGAACTCACACAACGTTTGCAATTCACAATCACGACGTTCGAACTCACACACACGACGTTTGAACTCACACACACCACGTTCGAACTCACACACACGATGTTTGAACTCAGAAACACGACTTTCGAACTCACACATACACGACGTTTGAACTCACAAACAAGACGTTTGCTTGTCCGCTTTAGAACACCATAGGAATCAAGTCATACAACTCGTAACGAAATACTCACAGTTCGAGTGTTGATAAATATTCATACCCAAACTACATCACAAGGAACAAAATACTTTCGCCATCATGAGGCAAGAAAACCTGCACAGTATCAATATCAATTGTTTTATTTATTTCATTAGCCTTCATTCCCAAAGCGTGTCAAAAGTAACTTTGTGAAGCCTCAATTCTAAGAAAAGCCTTAAAGGGTTAAACAAAATTCCAAAATTTCTGCCCGCCCTCCCAACCCCCCCCCAAAAAAATGAGGATCCTCCCTTTGATACTTTCAGAGCATAATTTAGGGTTAAGTCTACGACAATGTGAACAGACCTTGAGGGATGGATTTAGTTGATTTATTCTGTGACAGTGGTCACAGAACTGGAAGGCTCAAATCCAGTCGTTAGTCATAATGTTGTGTCCATAGGCAATTACTTTACTTTGTTTTCCTCTCTCCATCGAAATTTATGCATAGGCACAGGCATCGGCCTTACCGGGACACTTGATCCAGGGAAACGTTTATGTTTTGAATCATTTTCGTCTTCCGAAAAGGAGGTAGACATGCTCAAGGAATGTTCAGCTTTCATGGGGTGTTTTCCATGTCGTGAACCAGAGAAAACGCGAGATATAAATGTAAACTATACAGCAAAGGTTTGCCAGGTTAACGAGATAAAACTTGCTTTGTCCGAGTGTCTGTAACAACAAGAATTCACTTGTCAAAGAGACAAGTTTTCAGTACTCTCTAAGAAACTGCAAAAAAAAACCATTTGATTAGAACTCCAGCCTATCAACGCAAATGTTTTACCACTCGAACACGGATGCGGGCAGTGCACACCACCGCAGTATACAGCTCAACTTTAACATCTTATCAGTTTGACCAGACAATGGCTAACCATTGTCACCAGGATCAGACCCTAACGCATCGAATATTTTAATGTGATAACTTTGTCTTCTCGCTCTATGAGTCAATGTTTATCTTGTCAGAATCCTGTCAGCGTAACACACGGAAGTTGTCATATTTTCCTGACGAGAGCTATTCTTGTCACTGCGACCAAAACTCGTCGAATGTTTCCTGTGTTTCAACGAAACATTCTAAAATGACTTGGAGTGTTTCTTGATACGTGTATGAATTACATCAGGTTGCTTGTCATATTTTTTCTACTTGCCGCCACCACATGATACAGTGAAACTATTTAACGTGTCACACAAGCTTGTACCTACGGAACAAGGGCTTGATCAACTGCAAAGGAAATACACTGTCTCCCATTATTTTAAAAACAATAGACAATATTTTCTACTACAACTATTAAGAAGAGGGTCACGTGCATGCCAATCAACCCATCCACGTGTTTAATCGACTTTTAGATTCCGATAGAAAATAGTTACATTCTTAACCATTTTGTTGTGAAGGGGGAAAAAGAAAGCGACTGTGCATCTGGTATAACGATTATGTCCTCGTTTGTGTACATCTGCTTCAGGAAGAATTTCACAAAGTTTCATTCCTTTCATTTTCCCTGAATCTATTCTACACCCTTGAAACTGAAATGGAAACCAATTAAAACAAACCGTGCTCGTTGGCTGGTTGCAAGGTCTGACTTTCTGCGTGGCCGGATCGAGCCAAATTAAATAAGAAGGTCAGTCATTACCGAAATTGGATTTCTAATCAAACTGGAGAACCAAGCATTTAGTCTTTATTGCACTTACTTTCTAATGCAGACATTTATAAGCCGGTATACTAAACGAGATCACAGATGAAAATCTATTGAAAAAAGTTATATCTAACTGGAGTTCGCTGATGAAGGTAACGGGTAAAATATTTGTGATAGTTGAAAGAGAACCAATCCCCACATATAACTGGAAGCGCCGAAGTAGACTGCATTGTTTTTATTGCTATTGGGAGCCATTGAAAATATTGCTTTTCCTCTTTAAAAAAATTCCTCATTTCGCTGCCGTTAATTACTTTCCAGAGAATGTCAAATTCTTCTACAAGGATCGTTGCGTAAGTGGGACGTAAATGGGCAGGAAAACATTATTTCAGCAGTAACTGGGTAAAACTATATGTGTAATTGAAAGTTGATTTTGTTTTGAAGTTACCGTAACTTTAATATGGTTCATGAATGGACTGTGTTCGGTGCCCGAAAGACCACCACCGCCCATGCACGAATGGGTTATTGCAAAGTTCTTAGGAAGAACCTCTGGATGAAGAAACGTAAATATATGACAAATTGGGCTTTTAGTCTAACGGAAACGAGACCTAAGCTGCAAATCTGGCATGTTTTCTTCAGCCAAGTAAGGAGTTGAGCAGACACACTAAGCCAAAATGGGGAAAAATTGTCCTCTGTATGAGAACTATGAAACACTGAATTTCTCAAAAAGAAAAACAAACAAACAAAAAGATTTACTTTCTTTAAAAAAATGAAATTACACAGGACAAGCATTATAATTAATACCAGCAATATGTTACAGCCATGGCAATTGAAAGCCAATTGCAATCGGAACTAACCTTCATAAAATATGTCAAAGAGAATAACAAACTACCCTTATGTCTACTAGGTACGTACTTTTCCAGGCTGAAATTAATTTCCCGAAAGGACAAGTTCGAGAGGCCCCGTTAAACTGTCGTTGAAAAGCTCATTTGTTTAGTCAAATCTCATTAGGCCTACTAAATGACAGATTGAATTAGAAACAAAAGACAACTTTTTAAAAGAGTGTTAAATATTAGGCCAAGAAGAAAAAAGGAACAAATAAGAAAAATACCCGCTTAGGATGGCAAATCGAACCATTACAGATTGGAAAACTAATCACATCCGTTACGCGAAAGCACTGACAGCAGACTTAATCACAGGAACAGGAAATATCTTAGTTTTAGATTGTTTACAATTGCATGGGCAAGATGCCGTCAGTCCTCTGTCAGTGGGAAGTATCATGACCCCCGTGAAAAGTCAAACATAATTCCAATTTCTAATTCGTTCATCGAATTATATCCCATTCAAAAAACCCTTAGGGCGACATTTTTTTTCAGTACTGACTTAACTTACAGGTAGACATCAGACATTTTGGGAGACGTTTCTATCTCCCCCTGAGGTTTGATGTCCCCGATAGATACAAAATATTACCGTTATAAATAGAACAGATCGATAGATCATGTTCCAATGTATAAATAAATCAAAATTCGTTGCGGCAGGATAAGGACGATAATTTACCTGTATCGTCCTTTTGGGGAGCTTTTCGCAAGACCTAACGTACCGTTTCAGTAAAAAACACTAATTTTTTGACAATTCCCGTTTGCTTGTTGTCATTCATTTTACCGATTTAATCATTCAATTCCGACATTGAATTTATCGTAAAGATGGTTTGAATTAGTGGTTATATAGACCTCATTTTTGTAGTGGTGCAAAATTAGCTAAATAGAATAGGCCGAAGAAATAGACATATAAATATTTCGCAATAATTACACATATGACTTTTTCTTGCTAATTAAATTACGGGCTAATGCTTTGTATGCATTTAGCGCAAAACATAACTCGTGTTCTATGATTTTCATGTTCAATTTACAAGGGCGAAAAAAATAATGTAATAATTTTAACAGTGACAAAATTAAATGATTAAATCAGTAGTAAAGTGAGTGACAAAAAACGAATTTGCTTTTCCACTTTTAATGCCCTTCCCGGAGTGAGACAATAATGACGATAAACAGGACGAATAAGAACGTTTAATACTCTGAAAATGAGATCCTGTGGTGTTGTTTCGAACTTAGAATCAACATTTGGGGCGACTCTCTTTGACGAAAATACGAAAAACCGATTTTAAATGAAAGAAGTTCCAAATTAACTGGGAAAACTATCATATATGTTGAACTGAATGAAAATGCTTATGAAATAAGGACGGCGACATTTTTCCAACATCATAAAATGGCAAAACTGTTATAATATGCATGAATGCATGTTGTCTTCGTTAGCCAAACTGGTATGTAGATACACTCCCTATCTGAAACTATTCTGTGTTGACTGGTTTTAGGGTGAAGTCTTAGATTTTGTAAAGAAGTTGACGGTCTAATTTCGAGAAACAATGGATTCAGCAGAGTAATTCGCAGTATTTGCATAATTTAATAAAGAAAAGCAATGAGGGCGGGTATGACTGTTACCGCTAGATGTCGGCAGGTCACTGCGCAGCCCGACTGCCCCACTGGGGGGTGGGCCTCAGCACGGTCGCGTATAAATAGGCGAGAGGTGGGTGATGAACTCCACTCACTGCCTGCACAGACTCCAAACTGCAAGCATGAATCGTCTGCTGATTTTCGCTGTTCTTGCGCTCACCGCGGTGTACCAGGGTAAGTTGTGGGACTCGGCTAGGGTACACCGTCATATTGACACTCCACACAGCCGGTGAGTTCGGGTGTTTTATTCGCGAGAGCCACGCCGGCGAAGATGGACTAGAGACTGGTTTCCGGGTATTGGAGGAAATTCGGGTTTTGTCAGGTTGCTATAGGTGCTCTGCTCTGTTTGAAGAAAAGAGCCTTTTATTCGCAAAGCGTGTCCATCATGCAAGCGTAACTTCTTTGTCTCTCTTTTTAAAAGTTACTGCAATGTACTAATCAGGCACGAGGCTCAGTGTTTGGTTCCAATTGCTAATGCATACGGCACTTTACAGTTACAAAAAGTCCTAGCGAAGGTACTTGAACTGAAATGTTTTTGCCTTGCTTTGCTTGCAAACAGAGGGTCAAACCTCAAAGGGGCCTCTCCTTTAACACAGAGGTTTAAAACACAGAGGTTGCGGAAATCGTTATCCTGTAAATTTTGCAATCTCTATGCACATTCATAAGGTGTCTTTGGCTTAAACCGTGTTTGTAAGCCATCGAGACTTTATCCTGTGATGTACTGGTCTGCTTTATTCAAAGCATAGTGAATTGATTCCTCTCTGTGTACTGCCATTTTTGTTTCGCGTTGGAGCAGTGTCTGGTGTGCCACGCAAGCCTGAAGAGCCATCCATCAGCGCACACTGTGGTATGCTTCTGGAACTAAGACAAGTAATGTAAGTTACTTCTTCATCTTCTTTATTTTTTCTCTTGCTGCCCCTGATTAAAAAGCATTACTATCCCACCGGGCGCCTTATGCTGTGATTTGCCGTGCATATAGTCGGCTAAGTAACGTCCACAGCTTGCATCTGCAAAAGGGTCAATATCGGTTTTTAGCTGGTTTAATACAAGGGCGCTACTGTAACAGACGTAGCCCTTCCACTAGTCCGTCAGCCATCATCATAAGGATTATCATCAGTCTCCTGATCCAACATAGGGGACGAAGGACCGCGCAGACCAATCGATAAGGTGCCGCCTGCCTCGTGGTCGTGTCCCGTGGAGTCCTGGTGGAGTCCCTCCTTCCCTCACGCAAAACTTCAAGTGCGAAATGGGCGGGTACGTCTTCCCGTAGCTGTTTGTGAGCCCGTTTCGGGTAAAGCCTTCGACCGCACCCTTCATGCTTGGGCGCACTCTTGGGGCCTTATTGTGCAGGAGAGCGGTACCAACAGAAAGCGACTTGCAGCGCGATATTGATAGCCGCCCCGCGTAGGAACATGTGGTGTACTATTTACGACAAACATTTCTCTCTCTCTCTCTCTTTAGCCTCCCTCCAGGCGACGCAACTACACGACGCAAAGACACGACGGCTCCCTTGCGTCGTGCCGTCGGGTCGCACCGTCGCCTTCTTGCCATTACGTTTGTACACACACGACGGGTCGCGTCGTGCCGTCGCCCGTTGTGTCGTGCTGTGTTAGGTCCTTTCCTTGTTGCTTGTTTTTTCGTCTAAACGTCGCCCCTTCCGTCACCCGTCGCGTTGCACCGTCGTGCGTTGCGTCGTGTATTTCGTCGCCTGGAGCACGACGCGACGCGTCGTGTGCTGTCGCCCTTTGCTTCATGGTGTTAACACAGGGCGCTTTTACTCTTTTTTTTCATTTCCGTCCCCATGCTTACCAAGTACATGCTATTCGCGCTTTGCACGCTGCCGCCATGGGCATTCAGGGCCTCGAACTGGCAGCTTGTACAATCGCATCAGAATCGCGTCAATCTAGCTTCTGAAATATTGTCCAATCGTATGGTATACGTGGTAGAAGAACTAAGGCGGCATGAGAACTAAAGAGCGAATAGGTTATCAAGTCTTGTTTCTGTTGTTCTTTTCCATGCATTCTGTCTAACTTTGTGTTTTGATTAAGAGTGAGTTGTTGAAGAAAAGGTGGGTTTTTTTTAATTAAATGTAATTAGAAAGACCGTTACGACCAACTATCAACATTGTCTCTAGGAAATAAATAACATCAGCCACGATGTTTTAGCTTTTCCTGCTCTAATTTTGTTCTTTCTGATTACTATTTCTAAATTCAATTTAAGATACAATACATCAAACATTATTACTGCGGATTATTATTACATGCGGATCTGAGGAGAAAACTATGTGCGTGGCCTACCAAAGTTGACGAAAAGACTCGGCCACAATGATAATAGCGTCTGTACAATGTTTTATTCAGAAACATGGACTAATGTTATTGAAAGTGTGGAGCTGATGAAGGTAACGAGGAAGACTGGCCTGAAGGAAGACTAAGAGGGAATATTCTGAGGGTTTTATAGAGCAGGCTCGGTGGTAACTTCCTAAACCAGTGGTCAAACTTGCAGTCATACAATTGTAGACAAATTGTCTGGGGAATTGGGAGTACTG